TTGCCCCTCTTCCCCCAAAATGTCATGGGTTTAATAATGATATTGCCTCTTCCCCCCCCAGCCAAGCTCACCCTCCTTATAGATAGAAGGGCTGTTCACAGAATCACAGAATATTCTAGGTTGGAAGGGACCTTAAAGATCATCTTGTCCAACCATCAACCTAACTGACAAAAATAGATACCCACACAACAAACAACCCCCTCTCCTTTCGAGCATCTTCTTTATTTTCTTCCCTGACTCACTGTATTTCCTTCACAGGCACAAAAGGAAATTGAAGGCCATAGTGGCTGGTTCCACCGGTGAGCTGTGTTTGGGGTTCTCCAGTTGGGTGAGACACCAGGGGGGGTGTGAACAGCATGGAGGGGGGTACACATGGGGGGAATACACATGATGGGTGTCAGCAGGATGTAACCTGGAAGAGATCCTGCCCAGCAAGGCACAATGGTGGGAGGCTTTTCTCAGATCCAGGCTCTGCGTTGTCCACTCCATCCCAGCATGTTTCTCATGCCATGTTGGTGCCTTTTGGGTGGCCAAGTTCCTCCCCCCTCAGTAAAGAAGTGCCACCCCGTGGTTGGCTGTTCAGCCCACGCCCATGCTGACCTCTAAACCCTTTTGCAGGGAACAGAGGCTTCATGGACATCATGGACATGCCAAACACCAACAAGTACTCCTTCGATGGGTGAGTTCTCCCCCTTCTGTCCCCTCCCTGGTTTGCCACCTTGCAGGATGGCAATATTGCTCCTAAGAGAGGGACACCTGGGTCTCTCTGTGGAGATTGTGGCCAGGCATGCAATGTGGGGCACGACTCTGGTCCTGGGACGTGTGCTTGCCTTGAGAGCTTTCAAAGCCAAAAGACCTCATGACTGTCCCGTGACTCTGTCTCTGCCAACATTGGCCAGGGTCAGGGGAAGCAGAGATGACAGGCTGGTGTCGACATACATCTGGAGCTAGAGCAGCCAAATTCCTGCCTGCACAGGGCAGGAGGAGGCAGCACAACCTCAGCGTACGGGTTCTGGATGGGGTTAGGGCTGCTGCCAGTCTTGGCTTGCGCTGAGGGCTGTTCCTCTTCCCCGGGCAGGGCCAACCCGGTGTGGCTGGACCCCTTCTGCAGGAACATGGAGCTGGCAGCGCAGGCTGAGCATGAGGACGACCTGCCGGAGAACCTGAGCGAGATCACCGACCTCTGGAACAGCCCTGCCCGCACTCATGTGAGACAGGGCCCTGACCAGGACACCTCCTCCCCGTACCCACCACCCACGCCGCCTCCTCAGCCGCTCTCTCCTCCCGCAGGGGACCTTCGGGAGAGAGCCCTCCGCAGCCAAGCCCGAGGATGACCGCTACCTGCGGGCAGCCATCCAGGAGTACGACAACATTGCCAAGCTGGGGCAGATCATGCGGGAGGGACCCATCAAGGTGAGTGTTGAGTAGAGGCCTCCTCCACCAAGGGAAGGTCTTCCACCATTCCTGCTTCCAGATTCAAGGCTGCGGCACCAGAGGGGGATGTTGTTCCAAAAAAAATACTGGGAGGAGGCCAATTTCCCTCCAACCACACCATCTCCCTTGGGTAACCTGTGGTCTCTCCCCCTTCGCCCAGGGCTCTCTCTTGAAGGTGGTCCTGGATGATTACATGCGCTTGAAAAAGCTCTTTGCCCAGCGGATGGTGCATAAGGCCACCGCCAGTCAGGGGGACCGCTCCTCGGTCTCGGAGGTAGACGGGGTGTGCATGGGCGTGGGGAGATGCTTGCCGTGCCCTCTGGGATGCAGTGTGTCTTCTCAGCCCCGCAGGCTGTGGTCGCTCCCCGTGGCCACTGTTCCCTTCATCCTATGGTCCCCCCCATTCCCTGCTTGGCCAAAATGAGCCAGACTCTGGTTTTCCACTGAGGCTGCAGTACCCCAGCTCTTGTGACACCCCCACCTTTCCTCTGAGCATCAGCAGCACCTTGGTCTCTCCCACCCTGGGGGAGGATCTCCCTCTTTGCAGGGTGTCCTCTGTCCATCGCCTCTGTCCTTCTGCCCCGCTGAGGCTGGCCAAGAAGCTGCAGGTCCCTGCACGCATTTTTGTCAGTTAGGTTGATGGTTGGACAAGAGGATCTTTAAGATCCCTTCCAACCTAGAAGATTCTGTGATTCTGAGAACATCATCCCTCCCCTTCACCCCTCTGTGCTCATCAACCCAGCAGGTTTTTTGAGACAGAAAGGCTGGGACAGAGGGTTTTGGTGCAGGAGGGCTGGTTAAGCAACTCCTCCCCCCAGCCTTGCCCTTCATCATGGGGGACAAAACATGGGGCAAAGAGAGCAGAGGAAAGCACTAGGATGGGAGACACTTTTCAGCCCTTCTGCCCCTGTCCTGCCTTGCCTTTGCCCCCCCTTCAGCCTCGTCCAGCCTTCCCTCAACTCCTTTCCTTGTTTGCCTTCTGCTCCACCACCCTCGTACGACCACAAATCCCAGCCTGGGTCGAAAACTCCCCCTTGGCTGCTGTAGGGGGGCTGCTGCTGGACCACCACCTGGCTGGCAACCAGCACCTGAGTTGGGGCATCCATGTGACGAGCCAGCAATCCAGCTGGAGATCATCATGCTGGTGATCTTCATAACCACCCTCTGAGGTTGCTTCAGAGGAGGAGGGTCCCATCCCTCTGGGCTTTGCAGGAGGCTCAGAGGCTGCGAAGCCAAGATCTGCTTTGACCATGGTGGTGATTCCTTCCCTTGTGGACCTTTTGCAGCTGATCCAGAAGGAGCTGGAGGATGAGGAGGAGCACAGCCCCGGCCAGGGCAGCCTCCGTTTCCGACACAAGCAACCGGTGGAGCTGAAAGGTCCCGACGGCATCCACGTGGTGCACGGCAGCACGGGCACGCTGCTGGCCTCCGACCTCAACAGCTTGCCCGAGGACGACCAGAAGGTGCTGGGTCGCTCGCTGGAGACTCTGACTGCCGACTGCGGGGGCTACAGCGACCACAACGCCCGCACCGAGTCGGCCAAGTCCACCCCCCTGCACAAGATGCGGGAGGTCATCATGGAGAGCCCGCTGGAGATCACTGAGTTATGACGAGCGGCGGTGGTGGTGGTGGTGGTGCTCCTCTAGGCAAGCCGGGGCCAGCGGGGATGAAGCACAGACCAAGGGGCCCATGATGGGGGGCCGGGGGCACCCCAAGACCGGTGCTTGGTCCCCCCCCTTCCCCTGCAGAAGGAGTCCAGGTCAACTGGTGTGGTTCACTCCCAGCTTTGGAGAGCTTGGCCCCGGGAAAGGGCTCTCAGGACCGGTTTGCTTTTACTCGCCTGTCATTTATCCATGAAAACATTAATTTTTTTTTTATTTTTCTTATAAAAATTTTTTTTTTAGAAAAAAAAAAAAAAGAAAGAAAAGCTAAACGAATCCAATGAGTCCAGGCTGGACCAGGGGTGGGGGGAGAAGGCAAGGTGGAGGGAAGGTGCGGGTGATGCTCCGCCGCAGCATCCCGGGGACAAGCAAGACATCACACCTCGACCACGGGGCACGGGGAGGGCTGGGGCATGGGGGGGGAGAGGCCGAGTCTGTTTGGCACTAATATCACCTTTCCGGCAAGGAAAGACCCCCAAAAAAACAAAAAAAGAAAAAAAAAAGAAGAAAAAAACAAACCGAAGACATTTCTCCATTTTGCTGGCTTTACCAAAACGTGTTGCGTCGTCGGAAAAGAGAGAGACTGACAACGACTGGGGCTTCTGGATGTGGAGTGCTCATGCGTGTCTTTTCTTGCCCTTTTCTTTCCCCTTCTTCTCTTGCTTTTGGGTTTATTCCTTCAGGGGGGGTGGGGAGGGGGTTTGTTTCCAATCGTAACTTTGTGGAGAGTTTCGGGCACGGTCTGTTACGGGACTCAGAAATACACTGTCTATGGCTTTGGGTACCCTGTCTGTCGTCCTTCCTCCCCGGCCACGTCGCATTCATCACACCCAAACCGCCTTTTGAAGAGAAACCCCCCCTTTTTCCCTTTAGTTCCCCCCCCTCCATCCATCACTTTTGCCAGATGCCACCCCAGGGTTTGCTGCCCCACCAGCCCCCTGGCACCCTGGGAGAAGGAGGAGGGAAACAACCAGCTGGGCTCATGGGAAGAGTTTTATTTGTGGTGAGATGCTTCCCATGCACGCTCAGAACTGGGCACCATGGGTGTCCTGTCCCCCCCAAACCTCCAGTGGTAGGGAGAGACGAGCCAGCACCCTGCTGCCCCTCACCACCACGGCTGGGTCAGCACAGGACCACCCCAGCGGAGATGTGTGCATGAAAGAAAATTTTTTCCCCCAAAATAATTCATTTTTTTGTTCAGGGAATACTATATATATATATATATGTATTTCCAGCAATTGACTGGACACTAAATCAGTGCACTGCAAAGGTCATGCAAGGCCAGGCATTGCCTCGACCACGGGGCACGGGGAGGGCTGGGGCATGGTGGGGAGAGGCCGAGTCTGTTTGGCACTAATATCACCTTTCCGGCAAGGAAAGACCCCCAAAAAAACAAAAAAAGAAAAAAAAAAGAAGAAAAAAACAAACCGAAGACATTTCTCCATTTTGCTGGCTTTACCAAAACGTGTTGCGTCGTCGGAAAAGAGAGAGACTGACAACGACTGGGGCTTCTGGATGTGGAGTGCTCATGCGTGTCTTTTCTTGCCCTTTTCTTTCCCCTTCTTCTCTTGCTTTTGGGTTTATTCCTTCAGGGGGGGTGGGGAGGGGGTTTGTTTCCAATCGTAACTTTGTGGAGAGTTTCGGGCACGGTCTGTTACGGGACTCAGAAATACACTGTCTATGGCTTTGGGTACCCTGTCTGTCGTCCTTCCTCCCCGACCACACCACATTCATCACACCCAAACAGCCTTTTGAAGAGAAAATCCCCTTTTTCCCTTTAATTCCCCCCCCTCCATCCATCACTTTTGCCAGATGCCACCCCAGGGTTTGCTGCCCCACCAGCCCCCTGGCACCCTGGGAGAAGGAGGAGGGAAACAACCAGCTGGGCTCATGGGAAGAGTTTTATTTGTGGTGAGATGCTTCCCATGCACGCTCAGAACTGGGCACCATGGGTGTCCTGTCCCCCCCAAACCTCCAGTGGTAGGGAGAGACGAGCCAGCACCCTGCTGCCCCTCACCACCACGGCTGGGTCAGCACAGGACCACCCCAGCGGAGATGTGTGCATGAAAGAAAATTTTTTCCCCCAAAATAATTCATTTTTTTGTTCAGGGAATACTATATATATATATATGTATTTCCAGCAATTGACTGGACACTAAATCAGTGCACTGCAAAGGTCATGCAAGGCCAGGCATTGCAGGTAAATTTAATCCACTTTGTTTCTTCAACTGGCGACCCGGGGAAAGTTCATAAAATAAAATAAAACAAAATAAAATGAAATTTAAAAAAAAAAATAATAAAAGCCACTCCAATTTGAAGAGGGACCAGCAAAGGGTTGCCAAAAGCCGACGACACCCGCGGTGCGAGGCTGGTGGGAGTGGGGTGCTGGCATCTGGGCAGCAGAAACCACCCCCAGCCCACGGGGAATGGATCCACGTTGCAGGATTTGGGCTTTACAAGTGGCTCCGGATGGGATGGGATGGGATGGGATGGGATGGGATGGGATGGGGATGGGGATGGGGATGGGGATGGGGATGGGATGGGCTGGTGGGGTTTGGCAACCAGCCTGAGAGAATGAAGAGGCTGAATCCCCCCAGTCCTGAAAATACTGACAAGTCCCTTAACCTGATTTGGAAATCCGAGCCCCAGGGGGTGGAAAAAGAAGGTGGCAGAGGTGGCTGGGGTGCCCCACAGCCCCCACCGGGGTGGTGAGGCCGGTGGGCTCCTGCCGTTGCCATCCATGGATGCGGGTGCATCCCAAGGGAAGGGGGGGTCCGGGATCCTGAACCAAAACAGCTGGCAAACCCAGCCAGGTGGGGAGGTGGCTCCTAGTTCCATAGGTGACGCCAACAGTGCTCCACGGCCTGCAGGAGAGATGGGGTGGGATGGGTGAGGGCAGACAGGGGACTTCCAAGCCCCTGCCATCCCAGGGGAGGGGACACAGCCCACACTTACCTGGCACTCAACTGCTGTGGCCATGTTCTTGCACCAGTAGTGTGGGCCCCAGGCGCAGGGGTCGGAGCCCAGGAGGTCCTCCTCGGGTGAGTCGCAGGCTCTTATCTTCTGCATGGAGAAGGAGAAGGTAGGAAAAAGGATTAAAAAAAAAACCACCCCAACCATGGGCATCTTGCAACCTCACTGCTGTCTCACCCGGGGTGGGTGCAGCCCCCATGGAATGGGGGGACACTTACGGTGCAGATGAAGTTGGGGTCCATCATCTGCACGAGGAGCCGCACGGCCGCCGGCTCGTACTGGACCACCAGCGCCTCACACTGGGAAGGAGAGAGGAGGTGAGCTCAGTTTGGGGTTCAAGGGGTCCCCACAGGGGTGGGCGCTCCCCCCCCAACACCTCATCTCACCTTGCTGGTGAGCGGGGTGGGCAGGAGCTCACAGCCCTTCTCCAGCACGTCGCCCAGCTCCGCCAAGGTCTCGTTCTTCAGCAGCTCGTTATCGAAGTAGGTGATGACAATCTGGCAGACGTTGCAGAAGGCACCTGCCCCCACTGCCAGCTCCTCCAGCGCGGCAGCCCCTGCGGGACACGGCGGGGGGGCCGTTAGCACCCCCCTCCATCACCCCTCTCTCTCCCCAAGGACCCCGTGGCTGGGGTGCCACCAGGGTACCACCCCTTGTCCCACCTTGGTGGGTGTCCCCGCTGCGGGGACAGCAGTGCAGCATGGTGCAGACGGCCGCTGGGTCGGTGGCCTCCAGCAGCATGATGACCACGGCTTTGCCGTAGGAGTCGACGAAGTCCTTGCACTGCCCGATGACACCGTGGGGCAGCATGTAGCACACCTTCTCGATGTCGTTCACCAGTTGCTCCTGCCAGGAGAAGGTGGGCAGAAGGATGGGGAGACCCTCCTCCCCGCTTCCTTGCTACCCTCTACTTTGCCCCCTCCCCATCTCCAGACCGTGGTGGTGGGACTCACCTCCGTCATGTTGTTCTCCAGGAGGCTCTCAGCTGCCCTCACGGCAAACTGGCACATCTCACACAGCGGCGTGGTCTTCTCCTCATCCTGCTGGGATCAGGGGATGGGACACGTGCCAAACACCCCTCCCCAAGAACCAGAACTAGCCCACCTGGTCATCAAAACCCCCACAAAAGACATTGCCCAATGTCTCAAGGAAACACTCAAGGGGGAAAAAAAGCAAAATAAGGCTCCCCCTGTCCCCGTGCGTGGATTTTAAGGGACATGGTGGGAAGGGTTGTCCTTACTTACCCCTAGCACGCTCAGGACCTGCATCACCTTCTCCGTGAGCAGCGTGTGGAGGGGCAGCGCCGAGGCGGAGGAGCAGAGTCCCAGCTGGCCACACAGCACCATGGGGTCCTGGGGGGAGAGACACCCCAAATCATGTGAGCCTGTGTGCCCCCCGCTTCCCCACAAAGGGCTGTTTCAGCCTGGTGTGGTTGGGGGGGACACCTCACTTACCTCTGCTTGCTGCCAGTGGAAGGAGGGGGGCAGGAAACGGCAAGAAAAAAAATACAAATGAAAAGAATTATAGCGGTTGCAAACCAGAGAGAAGAGGGGAAAAATATTTAGAAGATGGCAGGAATATAAAGCAGTGGGTTTAATTAAAAGAAATGAGAGCGGGGGGGGGGGGGGACCTCACTTACCTCTGCCTGCTGTCGGTGGAAGGTGGGGGCAGGAAACAGCAAGAAAAAAAAATACAAATAAAAAGAATTATAGCGGTTGCAAACCAGAGAGAAGAGGGGAAAAATATTTAGAAGATGGCAGGAATATAAAGCAGTGGGTTTAATTAAAAGAAATGAGAGCAGGGCCTCACATTGGTTGATGAGGTCCCTTTGGCTGTGTCGTTTGTGTCCCCCCCTCAAGCCCCCGGGGAACTGCCCACCCCCTTACCAAGTGCTGGAGAAGCTGGGCAGCCGTGTCCACGTAGTTGGCCACGTAGTGCTTGCACTGTGGAAGAGGGGACACATGGCATCAGTACCCAAGGGGGGGACACCCCACCACCTCCTCATCAGCCCCCCAACCTGCCCCCCAACCTGCCCCAGAGCTGCTCAAAAGCAGGTGGCAGTGTGAGATGCTCCCGTGGTGGAACCAGGGAGGAGGAAGGAGCTCAGTGGGGTACCAGCACCGTTACCTGCTGTGCCAGGGTGGGTGCCATGCCCTCGCACGCCTGCTCGGCGTGGGCCACCAGGGCCCGGGCAAAGGCAGTGTTGGTCCCCAGCTCCAGCTGCAGGGCGGCCACCAGCTGCAGGCAGTCCCCACACACCTCTTCCGTCTCCTGTGGGACAACACGGGCAGGGACATGTCACTATCCCCCCACACCACCCCAAAAAATAAAACCAACACAACCCCCCCCTTCCCCACACTTGGGTTTGCAGGGCTGGGGTTTAAATGCCCGTTGCAGATGTGGGGCAGCTTCTTTGGCCAGCATCTCTGGGGTACCCCCTTGCATCCTGCAATATCCTGGCCTCCAGTTGATGAGATTTCTAATCAGATGCCATTTTGACTGTGCAAAAATTTAAATTAGGTTTTTTTTAAAATCATTGTTAAATAGGTGATGCTTAGGTGATTCAAGAGGAGGGTGGCCAGCAGGTTGAGGGAGGTTCATCCTGCCCCTCTGTTCTGCCCTGGGGAGGTCCCATCCAGAGCACTGGGTCCAGTTCTGGGCTCCCCAGTGCCAGAAGGACAGGGAACTGCTGGAGAGGGGACAGCAGAGGGCTACAGAGATGATGAGGGGCCTGGAGCATCTCTCTTATGAAGATAGGCTGAGGGACTTGGGTCTTTTTAGTCTGGAGAAGAGAAGGCTGAGGGGGGATCTGATCAACACCTGTAAGTACTTAAAGGGTGGGTGTCAGGAGGATGGGGCCAGTCTTCTTTCAGTGGTGCCCAGGGACAGGACAAGAGGAAATGGGCACAAACTCCAACATAAGAAGTTCCATCTAAACATGAGGAGGAACTTCTTCACTTTGAGGGTGGCAGAGCCCTGGAAGAGGCTGCCCAGGGAGGTGGTGGAGTCTCCTTCTCTGGAGACATTCCAAACCCCCACCCCTCTGCTCTGGGTGGACCTGCTTTGGCAGAGGATTGGACTGGATGATCTCCAGAGGTCCCTTCCAACCCCATATCATTCTGTGATTCTTGCACTTGAGCAGAATCAGTGGTATTCTCACCTGGGCCTCACCGCGAGGCAGGTCCTGGGGATGGAGCAGGAGGGGCACGTTGGCGATGAAGGGGTTGATGAGGTCAGCGAAGTCCTGAGCAGGGCCTGCGGAGGCTGATGACGACTCCTGGAACTTCAGGGCACCCGTGGGGCTCTCCCGGGGCTGGCACAACTTGATGGTCCCACACACCACCTTTGGGTCCGACTGGAGGAGCAGAGGGGTGGGGGCTTGGAGCCGTGTCTGCCCCATCACCCTGCTCTGAGCCCCCAACCCATCCTTGGGTCATTTCCATCCCCATCTCCATCTTGCAGAGGTTTTGTCCCAGGTTCCAAGAGTCTCCCTTGCCCTGTGAGCCCCCAAGATATCCCAAACCATGGAGAAATGCAAACCCAAGGGGTTCCCCCCCAGCCAGTTACCAGCACTTGCTTGCCCAGCTGGACGAGGATGAGGATGCCGGTGTCCACCATCTTCTTGCACTTGACAGACCAGTCCTGGAAGGGCAGGTACTGGCATTTCTTATCCAAGAAGACCCGCAGCTTTTCCTAGGTGACAAAGGGAGAGCTCAGGGCTGGGCTGATCCCTCAGTGGAGGGGGGGGTGGAATTGGGGTGGGGAATGACACCACCAGCCCCACGCACACCCCTCAGCCTTGCCCCACCTCAGTGCGGTTGTCCTGCAGGATCTTGCCCACCACGGAGACTGCCATCGTGCACAGGTGACATGGGATCCCCTTCTGCTGAGAGAGGAGATGCCTGGGGATGATGCCACGGCACCCGGACCCCCTGCTTGCTCCCCACGATGACACCCCTCCACCACAAAAGCACCCCACCAAGGGGCACCACTCATTTTGGTTGCTCACCCTGCAGACACATTGCTGCCCAAGAACATCTGATGATGCTCTTCTGCGTGCCCACCATCGGGGTGGCCAGACAAGGCTTCTCCTCCCAACCCCAGGTTTTGGGGCAGGATCAGGACATCCTTCCATCCCTCCCACATCCACCCCACATTGCTCCCAGTGTGGTTACCCCCAGGGCCTGGTCCCAGACGGTGATCCGGCAGAGCTCCAGAGCCCCACACTTGGCCGCCGTTGCCACGTCCCGGCACCAGTCCTCCGGCCGCTCGCTGCACTGGTGGAGGGGGCTGGCCCCGGCTGTGGGGTGGGGAGAGAAGACCATCAACCCCCATCCCCTGGGCACCCCAAAACCAGCTCCTGCACCACACCAACCCAGTACCCCCCAGCACCCTGCCCCAGTGAGGTGATGGTGATGCTCCTCACCCTCTCACCATGATTCACCCTCGGCTTTCACAACAGTGGGGGCAGGGGAGGGTGTTGGGTTTTATAAATGATTTTATGAGCCCAGCAAAGGCCAGGTTTGTTGGGCCACCACCTTCTTCCAACGGGATGTTGCAGCAGCTTCAGGCCAGCATCAAAAGGAGAGCTCACTTGGGGGCTCACCCTCAGCTCCCCGGGGAGGCGGCTGCTTGTAAAAACAGCAATAAATCTTGCAAAACGGGCAAACCAGTGCTCAGCCAGTTAGCCACGCCGCAGCTCCCGGCAACGATTGAGAAACCCCAGTTTGGGGTGGGTTTTTTTATTTGTTGGTGTTGTGTTTTGTTTTTTTTTTCCATTTCCTCCCCACGACAGCGTTTTTGTCCCGGCTGCAAATCCCCCAGTGTGGCAGCGCAGGGCTGTGACACAACGCCGGCGGTTTAATTGCCACCTTGGCATGTTCAGGATTAATTTGCGATGGGGCAAGTGGTTCTTCCCAACTGGGGGATGCAGCCACCCAGGATGTGGCCGAGGAGGTGGCACAACCCAAGCTCTTTGCTGCCCTGCTTTGGCTTGAAAAATTAAGGGGGGGTGGCACATGCGGAGCAGCATGTGGACAAACGGATGGACAGACAGACCTCCATGGGGCTGGTGTTTCTAAGCAAAGAACAAACCCCCTCAGAACATTCACAGCCAGCTTTTACCACCCCACCCTCATCAGATTTCTCCCCAAAAGCTGCTTTTCCCCCATGTCTGATTCGAGCAGTGCCTTTGGCTCATCCATGGGACGCAGCTTGAGATGCCCAAGGCCACCTCAGCTAGTCCCAGGGGGGTGGGAGATGTGGGGAAGGGGCTCCCCAGCCCCCCACCAGCCCTTGCCTTCTCCCCAAAGCCCTGGACCACCTCAGTGGTGTTTCAGCCCCGATTACCCCATCGGGCTGAGAGCAGGAGCGAGCCCCAGGGCAGGGTGAGTCCCCCCCCACCCCGGCTTCCCACACACCTCCCCAGCAGCGTGATGCCGTGGCCACCACATCAGCTGAGAGAGCTATCTATTTATTTATTTGTATATTTATTTATCTTTTTAACCCCGGTGAACAAATACGGCAAGTCAGCGCCAGCGTTAAGGGGCAGCACCACAAAAAAAGAAAGGAAAAGTGGGTCCTGCCTGACCCACGGACACAAATATCCCTCACATCCCCGTGCCGGAGACCAGACCAGACGTGTAAGGACACTACCGGCAATGGCACGGGTGGGTTGGGTTGGTCTAAAAGCCACCAGTGGCTTGGACCTGCGCCTTTCTGTCTCGCTGTGGCTCTCAGCTGGGTGCTTAGTCCTCTCTCTGCTCAAGCTGAAACTCGGGCAACAAGTGCTGGGCCGGAAAAATAATTAATACTAATTGTAATGCCCAACTGCTGAGATGCCCCAGGTGGAGAGCAGTGCCACCAGGCAGCCAACTGGTACCCCGTGAGCTTTCCTCCACGTTTCTAAGCCATAGTGGAGCCACCTCGTGCCAGTGGGCACCCAGGCAGCAGGACATGGGGTGATGCCATTTTGGGCAAAGCCCCAGGAGGGAACGTGGGATGAGCCAAGGATGCTCCCGTGCCACCACGGTGGCCCCAGGCGAGCCAGGATTGCCCTGCCCCATCTGCCAGGCCTCCGGTGGGGTGGGTGGGCTTTACTCAGGGAGGGGAGAGGAAACCAGCTCTGAGCTCTGGGGATCTGGCAGGGTTGTGCTGGATTACACGGAGCCCTGGAGGACGCCAACCGAGCCGGCCGAGCCTGGTGAGCAGGTTGTGACGTAAACCCCGGGGGTGGCAACGTGGGCCCCCGGCGCCCCAGTTCCCAGCTGGGTGCACGCCCCTGTTACAGCAAATACCGTAAATATGCTCTTCCCAGCATCAAAAAAGCCCTCTCTGAGGCTTGCAGTGGTTCCCCCCACACACATCAAGTCCCAGAACCCCACCATGGTGCCAGCCAAGGCTGGAGAGCGGCCACCAGCTTCCAGGGCAGGCGTCACCCGGAGGACGGACGTGCCGAGCGTGGGTGAACATTCCTGCTCTGCCTGTTGTCAGCTGGATCACCTCGGCACGTCCGTTCTCCCCACCAACCACCACCACCACCAACAACAACCACCTCCACCGGCGGCGAGGCCACACGTGTGCGGGCATGACTCCTCCACCTCAAAGCCGGCACCGGGGCAGGTCATGTCGGAGGAGCCAAAGGGCCAAGCCCGGGGTGATTGGGGTATAAAAGGAGTTCTTCCTCCCTCTCAAAGGGTTTTCTGCCTACAACAGCAGCAAGGATGGGGAAATTTCCCCTGGAATAAGCCATTTCCCCTCCAGCCAGGACTTGTTCCCCATGGATAAGGAGGGTTTAAGGCAGGTATTGCTTTCTCACTCTTCTGGGGGGGGGCAGCAGCACAAGCTGGCCTGCAGGAAGGGTTTGCTCCACAGACACCCCAAAGCCCTGGTGATGAGAGGTCTCCAAAGGTGCTCAGAGCTGCAGCACTAGCCCCTCAGCCCCCTCCAAGCCACCACAGAGGAGGTTTCCTGCCTCCTCCACCTCTGACACCTCAGGAAAGGGGCAACATCAACCTCCAACATGGTCCCTCAGGAAAGGGGCAACATCAGGTGGCACCTTGAGCAAGGCCAAAAAAGAGGTTCCCCCCAAAGGGGACACACGCAGCCAGGTCCCAACGCTGAGGGCAACAACCAAAGCAGCCCTCTCCCCCCATCGCTGCCGAGACACCCCAGGAACTGGTCTCCCTGCTTCCATACCCCAGCAAAACGCCAGCTCCCTCAAAGGGGAGAAGCACAAAGCACTTTTTTCACCCCGAGATCATCTTTAAGTTGATCTCAACGCTCGCGTCCAGGTGGGGAAGAGGTAAAGCAGGCGGTGGGGCCACCTGCCCCAGCTTTGCTTCTGGCCTAACTCCAACACCACAGAGGGACGAGGAAACGCTCTAAGGAGCTCAAACCGTATCGTTTTTGGGGTCTCCTCCGAGTCCTACCCCCAGGCTTGGCCTTACCTTGGTAGGACCCCAGGCACACTGAAAGGATCAGCACCCAGCCACTCCATCGGCTCTCCATGCCGTTCCTACGGTAAGTCCTCAGTGGCTGGTTCCTCTCCTGTGCTGCTCCCAGACTGAGGAATCTTGGATGGGCTGGGATAGGTAGTGAGAAACCCACACCTACGCAGGGCAATTACCACACCCTTCTCCTTACACCTTGATTATAAAATCATCCCCAGCACCTGCAAGTGGAGGGAGGGACCAGGAGCCAGGCAGGCATTCCCGGGAAGTCAAAACCAGCCCAGAACCTGCTGCTCGACCCTAACCTGGCTCAAAGGGTGGGCACAGCCGGGGACAAGGTCCTAGCACCACCTGACAGAGCCATTTTCCCTGCTCTTCACCAAACAGAGCAACCATCCCTTCCAAAAAAATAAGGGTCAGCAGCACAGATATTAAAGATCGGTGAATTTAGGACAAGGGAATTAACAGCGTGTTTAGAGGCAGGCGAGTAGTTTGCTTAAAGCATTTAAAAGACCTTGGTTCTACTCAAAATCTACTCAATCTACTCAAAATAAAGCAGAAGGAACGTGTTTTGAAGAACCCACAATTTTGTTGCTCTTTAGAGGATTATCCTCTCATCCGATGAGTCCTCCCCATCTGGGAAGGGAGAAAAACCAAACAAAACTCAAGGGACGAAACATGAACAGATTTAATTAAATAATACTAAATAATTAACATTAATAATAGTGAAAAAACCCCAATATTGTTATCAATGTAAAATATATGAGGACTATACACAGCAGGGACAGCAAGTGTCAGACACTGTTAGTGCTACAGCTTTGGGAGGAAGGGAAAGACCCAGGGGTCTGGCGCCGGGGCAAGGAGTTCTCAGGATGGCAGCCATCAAGGCAGAGAGAATTCTTCAGTAAATTTCATCATTTATATTGGATGTCGTGTTCATGGTTTGAAATAATCCCCTTGGCCAGCTTGGCCCAAGTGCCCTGATCTCACTCCTGCTTGGTGAGCTCAGAAAAACCTTTGAAACCTACCTAGCACGGCTGGCTATAAAGTCAATATTTTCACAAACACACCAGAGTCTTCTAGAAGTACATTTTTCCCCAGAGACCTGAACCGAAAAGTAAAATGACTGAAAGAGAAATGAGTCCCGTGTCACTCCTCAAACCAGGACAGCAGGCCACCCGAAATGCAAGTCAGCACTGCAGCAGCAGCAGCTTCAGCAGGAACTCCCTGCAGCCTGCGCAAGGCAGGGAGGTTGCGACACGGGGCCGTTGCCTCACACCGGGCGTTGCGTTCCGCCGGGGAAAGAGAGAGGGGAAGGTAATCCCTGGCAAAGCCTCCTCCTCCACCTGCAACCCCGCTCCATCTGACACCGAGGGCTTGATGGGACACGCATCTCACAAAGCAACAGCAGCTCAACAGGAACCTGAATCCCCATCATTCAACCCCAGATTCACAGCGACGCTCGGGGAACGTGCCTTCTCCCGGCTCTGCAGCCAAGGGGAAGCTTAAGGAGATGCAATTAGAGCACCAACAAGGAAACCAAACACACAAACGTCGTTTTACAGAAGTTTTTATTGTATATTAAGGAAGCTTTTGTGCAAAAATCAAGACAATGTTCTTTAGAAAGCAACTGCACGTGTCCCCCCCCAGCGTTAACTCAAGCGGGTCAGGTGCCAGGGTCCACAGGAAGGGAGAGAACTGAAAAGAGACTCCCAGCACAGGATTTCCCCCCCATTCACCTCGTCTGAGCATGAATCCTCCACTACTAAAAACCCAAGGAAATTAAAACCTTGCCAACCAGCAAGAGCAAGCCGTCAATCCATCCCCACCCTCCCTCCAAAAAAAAAAAAAAAAAAAAAAAGCAATCACCACAATACAAGACCTACCTTCTCCTCGGATACAGACCAGCAATCAAGCACAATACATACAAGGCAATACATAAAATACAATCAATACCATCCTCTACAACCTTACACAGCTCCTACGATACAAAGAACAGATACATACCCTACCAGACAGTAAAAAACAACAGAAATTAGACACACAAAACTACAAGACAAAATACAAGATGGACAATACAATAAATACCACACAATACCCCCCCCCAAAAAAAAAAAAAAAAAAAAAAAATTCATATTAAGAGAATGCCATCCAGTTTAAAAGATCCAAGGCCGTACTGCACACCGTGGTGTAACACAACCCGTACCTCCAGGCACTGAAGAGAGCCCATTTCCTATCTGCCATATCTACCCCAACCAGGATAACACTGCTGGAACCACCACACAAGCCTGCCAAGACAGAAAGCTGCAGGTATTTTACATCTTTGGGGGTTCATTATTTCTCAAGACAGAAAGCTGCAGGTATTTTACATCTTCATTATTCATTATTTCTCTTTTTTGTTTGTTGGTGTTTTTTTAAAGCCGCAAGTGATTCAGCATTCGGTACAAATGCCATCACTGTGAACACTGCCCAGACTTTTAGTAGGTACACACAGTAACAATCTTTTTTGTTTGTTTGTTGGTTTTTTTTTTAAAGCCACAAGCGCTTCGGCATTCGGTACAAATGCCATCACTGTCAACACCGCCCAGATTTTTAGTATGTATACACAGTAACAAAAAAAAAAGCTGCAGTTGAGTGGTTTTCCATTAAACTGCATGAAAATCACTTTGCTGGCTGCTCAAGGGTTATGTTACTGGAGCTCCTGCCTCCCCCAAGACACCACAGGAACAGCAGCAGTGGCCGGCACCTTTCTGAAAAGGACTGGAATTTTCAAAGCTCTACCCAGCTCCTCCCTTCCCCAAAGATCTCCTCAGAGCTACTTCAGTGCCTCCCATTTTCCAGGGGGGGGTTAAACTTGATCAGAACTATGTGCTAAACGCTGGTAGGGGATGCAAGGTGTGTCTCAAGCCATGTAAGCATGATTGTCCTTCTCAAGGCCCCCACACCTCGAGGGACTGCCTTGTTTTCCAGGCCAGCAGCCCGCCTCGAGAGGCTTTTGTTCCCAAATTGAGGCCGTTTGAGGGGGATGCTGCAGAGGCAGGAAAGGCAGGTTGTCAGGTATGACAGCAGAGCTGCCAAATATCTACTACACTGCTCTTATCTGCCACCTCCGCTTGCTACTCGGACACGTTTCCCAACAGAAATGGGAACTCTGGGGGGGGGAAAAAAATAAAATAATAAAATTATTATGCTTCCAACTACTCAGAAGGGTGAGTTTCAGTGAGAAGGGGTGGCAGCAATGGGAACTGCCCCCCCAAGCCTCATAGCGCCCCTGAAGCTTTAGATGGCTGAAATACGGTGCGAGAGAAAAACACATCAAGAAACAAACTGGCAGTTTACAACAAAAAAAAATACCACCAAACGTTCTTCATGTGTTGTGCCCTCTATGCTGAACTCATTTTTACATATGCACAGCCCCCTGCTGACTTTTTTCCTTCCATTCTTCTACCGACCCAGCTTGCTCCACCTCCTTGGCACCCAGCTGGCTGCATGTAGGAAGCTGCAAGACTTAAGCAGAATTGAGCAACTAAGATAAAAAAAAAAAAAAAGGGAGCCATTCCTTAAAATTTGTCAGCATGCTTCAAAAGACTGAAATCCCACCGTACAGGGCTTGACAGTAGTCATGCTTAGAGAGAGTAGTCCAAGGAAATAATAAGGACATGATCAAAGGTTGAGGGAGGGTTTCCTCAGCGATGATAACACCGTGAGCCACGAGTGTGGGCACTCAAACACAAAAGCACGGGCACTCAAATGCAAACACAGCTTTTTTTTTTAGATAGCAGTTACTTTGAAAGTTAGCTGGGCACACAGAGTCCCCTCCTCTGCATCTGTAGAGCTTTGAAAATTCCAGCCAAAGGGATTCCCAGGTTCAACACTTATCCCTTAGAGTTCCCCTAGGGTTACACGGAAAGTTATTATTCCAGCCAGATGGTAAAAATGCAAAGCATGTAATCTTCCCAGTGCTGACTACAGAAAGACATTTGAAAGTTTAGTCACTATCTTGCTCTTTTTTTTTTTTTAAATTAAAAGATAATAGTCTTGACTCATTTCACCATCTCTGCCATTCTTCCCAGCACCTAAAAAACACTTCAGCCTAACCAATTTTTAAAAAAAAAAAATCTACAACACACTGACTATTTTTTAGGAGTATGAGTTAAACTGTACAATCAGAAATATCTTTGTTAAGTCAACAATGAAGATCTGATCCTTCAACAGCAGCACTGCTACAAAAGAGTTACAATAAAGGAACTTGAAGGTCAAATTGTTAACGAGGCAGAGAGGAGGGACATTTGAGATACAGCTCTCTGCCAACCTCGGCCCACGGGTTTTAAGAGCCACGGCAAACCTTCAGAACTGGAAATTCTTCTTCTAGTTCCACACATGACGTTTGCAGTGATCAACAGCCTAAAGGGAATGAAATGGTGTATGTCAGTGGAAAAACAACTGTTTGCAAACAAGCGTGCATCTACACACACAATTCTATGCCTTATTCTGAGCCAAGAGATCTTGGAAGCAAATCTGTTTTTCTTGAAGTCAGTGATTCCAGAGAGGACTAGAATAAATAACAGCCTCGTCCCCACCCAGAAGCTTCAGAAAAGAATGCTGATGACCCTTAGCCATTAAGGCCTGGCAAAGAAAGCATCAGCCCACAGCAAGACTGGAAGCCAAATCTCAGAGCCTGATGAGAGGTCATGACGTGGTCTGTTGGCTGCGGGAACACAGACTAAATATAAAGCTCACTTTGTACCTTACTATAGATTCTGAAATGCTAACAGAGGGGTGGGGGATAGGAACCAAGGGGAGAGGAAAGAGTCTGCTTTACTGAAGACCCTCTAATCACACCCAACCATCTCTAGCTAGTACCATTTTGCTTCCTGAAACTGGAATTCATCCCCTGGGAAGCGTGGGGAAGCCAGAAAGGTAGTTTATAAGGAGATACCAAAGACCAAAAGGAAACTTGAGGCAGAATTCTGCTTTACGCACATTGCACTGAGCAGCAGTCTCCATGTTCTTACACCAGTAGCCTGGACCCCAGACGCAAGCATCATCCCCCAGGAGAGGCTGTTTAGCTGCTCCACACACTCCAAGTTTCTGTGAAA